AGTACTCCCTCGGCTGAGCTCTTCCTGGCCTTTCTGCCCCATAAAGCAGTGGACACTGTGGTGGTTTGAATGAGAATGTCCTGCATAGGCTCAGGTATCTGCACACTTGGTCTCCAGTTGGTGGCGCTGTTTGGGGAGGTTAGGGATATGAGCCATGATGTATGTCACTGTGGGAAGGCTTTGCTGTTTATAGTTTGGCTCTGCTCTACCTTGTATTTGCCACTGAGGAGATGAGCTCCCAGTTCCCTGCTCCAGCTGCCACGCTTACCACTTGCTACAGCCTCCCCACCAATATAGACTCTTACCCTCTGAAACCAGAAGCTTCGATAAACCCTTCCTTCTGTGAGTCGCCTCAGTCATGGTGTTCTATCACAGCAGTAGACAAGTAGCGAATACAGATGTGTCTGTGATGAGACCGGCATTCGTCTCCATCGTGAATCGTGTGTTTTACTGATTGTTTTCCAGTGTGCTGCAGACCCATGCTGACATAATCTGTAGTGACATGGATTCTTGAAAGAAAATGGAGAGAGGAAGCTGTCACATAGGCCCCCATCTTTAATTGTTAGTTTTAACTGTAGTTAGGTTACATTTAAATAAAGACACGTTGAAACAACCCATGGATGCTGCAACAAAGTCAAATCAATTTTTTTTTCTATTCATTTTGTTGTGGACACTTAACAAACAGCTGCTGTCTGGGATCTGGATCTGAGACCCCACCAGGAACAGAGCTGTTTCTCCCTGAACAGCTGATTTAAGCAGATCCTCAGTGTCCCTAGCACAGCTGGGCTCTCTCCACTGCCTCCCAGTGGTCCCAGGAGAGAACTTGTGACCAAGCGTAACTGAGACCAGTCCATTGCTGCTTCCACTTCTGGCAGGAAACCCATGGTTCCTTTAGGCAAGGAGGGAGAATTGACTGTACACTATCAAGAAACATCACTGAAACCCTGGGGCGGGGAGGTGTTTGGTGGATCTTTGTCTTCTCCTCCTCTTCTTCCTTCTTCTTCCTCCTTCTTTTTTTTTTTTTTTTTTTTTTTTTTTTTTGGTTCAGGGGACCAAATCCAAGTTTTCAGGCTTGCACGGCAAGCCCTTTACTAGCTAAGCCATCCCCCAGCCCAGCAAGTTTATAATTAACAATACTTTAATGCTTCCTTCCAAGCCAGAAGAAACACCGTGCACCCCAAACTACCCCCCATGAAGGTTTCCTTTGCAGCTAATGGTGTTTCCAGGTGCAGTCAGTAGAACATAGCAAGGTGTGCGGATAAATGCTCCCATTTGGGGGACACACGTCTCCATGGGATACTGATCATGAGAGAACACAACCCTCTGCAACCATTAGTGTTTACCTGGTCTCTGAAGAAGCATGGTGACCAGAGGCTCCAGGCCCTCTGAATGTTTGGTGCTGCTCTGCTTGGGAGACCTCACTGTGCAAGCAGCCAGGCATGGAGCCTGGGCAGTGCCCGTCCTGGGAGTGGGTGCAGCAGAACTCCAGTGAGTCTGTGCTAATTACCATCATTTATTCAGAACCTACTGGGCAGTGTGTCTTGCAGCGCTTCTCGTCACCCTGACAACCCTGGGCATCAGTGATTCTTCTCAGGAAGAAGTTATGCTAGACGCCCACTGCCCCGAAGCACAGGGGCCTCTTCAGTAGCAGAGCCAGGGTTTGAACATCGATGTGGACAACTTTCCCACACTGACTAATTGTGGGGGAAGCCATTCTTAAGCACATTGTGAGTCTGTTTGCCTGGGACTTCAACAGTCATTCATCCCTCAGGCCAAGTGCGGGAACATCCTGTCATAGCCACTTAGACATGTTAGTGTAGGGCTTCTTTTGTGAGGTGTTACAGCCCTTGAGGCCCGGGCTGGTGATTTGCCAACCCTAGGGTGGCCTTTGGGGATTTGTTCAGAAAGCCTAGTGGGTAGGAGCACCTTAGTGCACAGTGTTGCTTCCTTTTTCCAGCAGTTTCATACATCTGGGTGTGTAATGTGGTACCTTGACCCATACCCACATAGTGAGACATTGCTAAAGCTGAGCCATGGGCACCCCATCTCCCCACAGCTGTCGTCTCATTTGAGGGGAGAGCTCAAATTTGCTTTTGGCAAAGTTTAAGGACACAGCTTAGTACTTCTAACTATAGCTCCTGGACTGTGCAGATCACAAGTCTTGTTTACCCTACCTAACAAGTTTGTGCCCTTTGACCCATGACTTTCTGATTCCCTAACCCCTGGCTCCTGATAACCACTGTCTAGTCAGTTTCTGTGAATTTGATTATGTGTGTGTGTGTGTGTGTGTGTGTGTGTGTGTGTGTGTATACATATATATGTGTATATATATATGATTTTATATATATATATATATATTCCACTATATATACTGGTGAGTTCACCATCATGCAGAATTTCTGCCTATGGTATATTTCATTTAGCATAATACCCTTGGTGTTCATCTGTGTTTTTGAAAATGGCAGAGTTCACTTTTTAAAATCTGAGTCATGTTCCATAGGATACATCACATTTCCTTTGTCTGTTCATCAGCTGGTAGACAGACACTTCATATACCTTTACTCACAGGAAGGGTCTCCACTCACGTAAAGCACTCACAGAGGTGCAGGGTTTAGGAAGCCCCAGCAGACAGTTGGTCCTGTCAGCCCTGGAGGCCACTGGGGTACCCTTCCCCTCACCCTTCCAGGAACCAGTGGGGGCACAGTTACACAAAAGAGGGCTAAGTAAAGGAGGAGCCTATACTATTGCATCCTTGGAGTCCTCAGAGGTATGAAGATTGCGGGTGCCTTTACTCTGTCCTTCCTGGTCACCAGCCATCCTTGCTGGCCGTCTTGCTTACCTCCTAAGCACCCTGTGAGTAGCTAGCCTGGACAGAGAGCCCTTTGCAGAGACAGAAACAGAAGTGCATGGGGTTATTGTGCCATGGTGTGAGCAGTGCAGGGGTGCATTGCCAGCCCAGGGAACAGCCCCAGACAGCAGGAAGCTCAGTGCTAAAGTCAGAAGTCAAACTTCAGTGTTTCCTGGGCCTACCTGGAGGCCCCTCTCATCCGACACCATTTAGCTGTGCACACCCCCAGCCTCGGCTCCATCCCTGGGTACGTGCTCCAGCCGGGCTACCTGCTACAGACCTCACCTTTTAGACTCCCTGCTGGAAGCTGCCTCAAGTGTCCCCTTCACTCTCTGCCCTGGAGTGGCTTCCTTTGCTCCAGCTTCTCCAAGACAAACCTCCACCATTCTACTTTCTACGGGGACCCCAGCAACCCCTTCTCCCAACCAGCCGGGAGCTGCAGTGCCCTGCTCTTGCTAATCTTGTAACTTCCCAGTTGTCTTTGCCATTTTTCTACCTCCTCATTGAGTTCCTTTAATGCTCAGGTCCTAGCCAACCCCATGGACCCACTATTAGAGGCTGGCTGTGAACTGAGGCCTTGGCAGCATCCCTAAGGACAGCCCTCAGATACCTCTTGCTCCATGAGGGCACTGAGATGAGAAGGGATTGCTGGGGGCCACTGGCTGCTGAGTAGTTCCGCCAGAGTTCAGTTCCGTACCTGTGTCTACAGCGAGCCTCTGTTCCCTCTCCGCTCGCTGCTTCTCTTAGCTTGTCTCCTCATCTTTAAAAGAGTCAGTAGGATCTACATTGCGGCATTGTTTGCAGGGTTAGAGATAAGGCACATCTTGGAACACCTCCATCAGGGGGCCCTATAGATGAACACGAGTGGAATCTGAGATAGGTTATTAACTAGTAATCTATTGGGGATTTATACTCACACGAGGAATCAGTAACCAGACTGGCACTCTGAGCGGTCTGGTCCCAGAACGCTTCCCAATGCTGGCTTAACCCTGAGAGAGAGCCCCTGGCTCTCCCTTGCCCTTATCTACACTCTTCTATGTACCTGTGACCACACATGTTTGGGCGTGGTCAGCAGTACATGTAATCAGGGTCTCTCCCTACAAGGCCCATCTTTTTATCCAGCTCAAATAACACACACCACATGCTCTCTGAAAGCTTTGGCCAGTTTGAGGTGTGGTGCAGGGTGCCAGGGGGTTCTACACTAGCCAGAGTACTTGGCTATTCCCAGGAAGGGCCCCAAAAGTTGACTCACTTTTGCGTTTGTCTGTCCTGGTTTTCAGCCTTCTGAGGTGTGATCTGAAAGGCAAGCATTGGTAGAATGTGGTCTGATTGTCTCCTTAGGAGTGTTTAAGTGGCATGCTGTTTAGTTCCAAGTCCTGCAGACAGAGAGCTCTTTGTGGCATGCGATGAATTTGTCAGCTCCTCTAATACCGTCTGTCCAGTGTCAGAAATATAGCCCAGATGTGATCTCAAAGGTGGGAGGCCGAAAACAACCTTCTTCCCCCAACATCATACAGCATGGGTCAGAAAACCCTTAAATATCATCAAACAGAACAAGCTTCCACTTGACAGAGAAGAAGACCAGGACTTAGAGGGTAAAGGGACGCATCTAAGGTCCCATGCTGTGTTGACGGAAGAAAGCCTGGGGCCCTGGTAGCACCTGTTTGTGAGGGGCCAAGGCTAAGACTACAAATAGAAGTAGGAGAGTCCCATCATGCCTGCCCTTGGCTGAACCCTGCAGGCTGTGAGGGGGTCAGGCGAGGCCATGGCTCCTCCATTTGAACCGTTCCAGATGACTGCTTGGGTAACAGAAGGAGACTTGGCAGCACTGTGCCATTGGGTAAAGATTTTGCCCATAAATATCTTAATTTTATTTACTAGGTTGTCTGGCACATAATAGCATGCATTATTAATAGAGTAGCTTAATACTATCTGTTAAATAGGCACACTCTTCACATCGTACGAGGAGCCTCTCTTTACGATGTACTTTACAACACCACATGACAACATGCGTGCTCAGAATATCATAGCAGGCTTCCTTCCACTGTCTGGCCCCAAACCTTAGTCTGTTGGCCGTACCTGTATCATGTCTGAAGGGCCCCTCCCAGGAACCCGTTGGTTCTGAAACTTTTATTTCCCCCAACTGCCCAAGTCTGTCCGCTACCTCCCATGGTGAGTCACGGAGATTTCATCTGCCACCCGAGGCCTTGTGAGCGCTACAACCACGGGACCGTGGTAGAGTTCTACTGTAATCCTGGCTACAGCCTCACCAGTGACTACAAATACATCACCTGCCAGTATGGAGAGTGGTTTCCTTCCTACCAAGTCTACTGCATCAAATCAGGTGAGACTAGAGGCTACACCCTTGGGGGAGGCTGGTCCTCTGAGAGCAGTCTTCAAGCCTTGGCCAGGCTGCGTCCTGAATGACACCTTGCCTTATGGTGAGCCTCAGGACCAGGCTGTAGAAAATGAACCATTATGGAGATGGGTGGCTGTGTTGGACTCTGCCAAGGGATTCCCAGCCTTTTTCAGAAGGTCAGGAATATTTATGAACTGAATCAGAGCCCTGGCACCCAGGGAAGAATTCAACTTCTGCAGTTTCTCACAGCCTTGGTGCTGTCCACAGGTAAGGCTGCAGGCCCATGGGCGTAATCAGAATTATGTGCATGGTTCAGGGATCTGAGCAGTGGATGACCCCACCCTTCTCTTCCATTGAGGGACACTCATCCAAATAGGAATGATGTTTCTGTGGATAAGAACTGATCTCACGCAAGTGGAGACTGTATGCAAGCTCCACGGGCTCCTGGTAAATGATGTCTTCAACCCAGCAGGACCCATGCTAGAGATAGGTTTTTGTGTTGTGTGGGTCCTAACATGATTTACATATGTACTGCATGTATGATATGTCTATTGAGTCCCAGGAGGCATACCACGGCTACCTCATGTACTAGGTGACCACCCACCAAAGGAACATGGTACCTCATGCCTGGCTTTGTTATCTCTCATGGCAGAGCAAACGTGGCCTGGCACCCATGAGACTCTCCTGACCACATGGAAGATCGTGGCATTCACAGCCACCAGCGTGCTGTTGGTGTTACTGCTAGTCATCCTGGCCAGAATGTTCCAGACCAAGTTCAAGGCTCACTTCCCTCCCAGGTCAGTGCAGCAGAGAGAGCACAGATGAAGACAGAGCTTGAAGGTCTGGGTAGATTGTTAGGGAGACAGCACCAGGATGGAGATAGGCCTCATCCCTGCCTCCCTGGGCAGGCCACTCTGGAGCAGGCACTCTGGGGGACTGGAGGAGAGGACCAGGCCAGGAATGCAAGCTGTGCATGCCCCATCAGGAGCACCCCCACACATATCACGATCCACCTACTGTGGCCCTAGAAGACGACTTACATAGACCTGGGGAGGCATCAAGGTCAGGTATGTGACATGGCAGAGGTCAAAATAGGGCAGGAAGCTTCAGAAAGGAGAGCAGGCCTGAGTGGGAAACCAGGAAGGGCCTAGGATGGGACCCGGGCTTCAGATGGTGGTTCTCTCTCCTCCTTGGCTGCACCTGAGGACTGAGGTTAGTGTCCTCATGCCTGTGTCCTCCTCACTCCATGACTGCCCTTACAGCTGAACCTTGACAGCGCACAGCTTTCTTTACCTCTCAGTCAGTCATCCTCATCCCTAAGTTGCCCTCACAATGGTGCCTAATTATCAGAACAAGAAATTTGAAGTTCATGCCTGAAAAAACAAACAACAACAACAACAAAAACTATGCTTTGGGCAAGAAGGAGGCTCCTGGAATCAACTCTATCCCCTCAATACAGCCCCATAGCTCTCACCTCCCAGGAGTGTGGAGAGGAACAGGAGTGGCAGTTTCCCAAACCTCACACGTCCCAAGAGCTTCATCTTGCTTAGCAGTTCTCCTGAACCTGGCAGCAGAAACACCATAGGTCACACTCAGCAAGTGCCTCACTCTCCCCAGCTGCGTGTACTGGGTGTAGGGGTCACTTATGTCCTTCCCAGGCCCAGGGTTGTATCAGCACCTCCCTGGTGGCATCACTAAGCTTTCACTGTGGTTCCAGAACCTTCCTTTCTTCTCCTCCTCAAACCTTCCATCTGCTCTGCGTCTTCAACATTATTTCTTATTAATCAAGGGACCATGTTCTATCACTAAGCAATTACACTTTCTCAAGAAGGCCAAAGGATCATAAGAAAAAGCTACACTACACCACTGTGGTTTACAGTGTGTGAACAAACCTTCAGATGGCCCATAGAGAAAGATGGATGGATGGATGGATGGATGGATGGATGGATGGATGGATGGATGGATGGATGGATGCTTGGAAGAGTTTTCTAATATATGGACTACTAGGATGTCTTTGAAATTTTCTCAAGACTGACTTGATGGTTTTCCTTTAGTTGTTTAGTTTAGTTCCTTTAGTTGTTTAGGGCAAGTTGTTGTCATCTGTCAAAATGGAGTACAAGGTATGCAAGGGCATGCCAAGGACAGACGACTGTGTTTTCCAGATCCCAGGTGTTTAATGTCAACACATATGAAAGTCACATGGCATGACTGGATCTGTGCAGAGGGGACTGTGGCCCGAGCATGGGCTGTTAGGGTAAGAAATGAGCAGAGGCATCAGCCTGCTTGGGTCTGACAACAGGAAAGCAAGGAGCAGGGAGGAAGTCCTGAGTGAGCCAGATAGGCTGATGGGAGACCATGGAGGCCAGAGAGGGGTGAGCACAGTTTGTTCTGGGAGGGTGAGCAGCACCAAGCTAATTGCCTTCCTGCCTGCCTGCCTTCCTTCCTGCCTGCCTGCATTCCTGCCTTCCTTCCTTCCTTCCTGCCTGCCTTCCTGCCTGCCTGCCTTCCTTCCTTCCTGCCTGCCTTCCTTCCTGCCTGCCTTCCTGCCTGCCTGCCTGCCTGCCTTCCTTTCTACCTGCCTTCCTTTCTCCCTCCCTCCCTCCATCCCTTTCTTCCTTCCTGCCTGCCTTCCTTCCTTTCTGCATGCCTTCCTTCCTTCCTTTCTCCCTTCCTCCCTCCTTCTTTCCTTTCTTTCTTTCTTCCTTCCTTCCTTCCTCCCACCTTCTAGGGAGTGCAAGCCTAGGTGGTCTCTTGCCTTCTCTGGGTAGCCTCTAAGGACTGGAGCAAGAAGGCAATGCCATAATCCCCGAGCTATTGCAGGTGTTTCAAATAGCCGTCCCTGTCATGTGAATAAGCAGCACGGGCTGATGCCGCCCCTCCCCCATAAATGCCGTGTCCAGACATTCCATGTCACCTCCCAGAAGCACTCACACCTAAACAGATCACCTCCACTTTCTGCTGTGTCATCCTCTGGCCTCCTCTTCTAACTTCAGTTCCCAGCAGAAGAAATAAGCAGCCACGCTCTAGACTGTTTTACTCACCGCTGTGGGCCCTTCTGGAGCCAGGGGCAGAACCTGGTGGTAACACACATCTCCTAGGGTCAGGTTCAGCACCACGGCGTGTTCACCTGACATCAGAAACAAGGGCCAGACCAGGAGCTGGGAGGGAGCACCCTCGGGTATGCCAGGCTGTGTGTGTGCTCCACCCGGGAGGGAGCACCCGAGGGTATAGCAGGCTGGCCTCCCTGCCATGTAAATCCCTCACAGCAACTGTACAGGTTCTCTCTGGGCCGTTGGAATGACACAGTCAGAGGGGCAACTAATAGCCCACCTTTTTAGTTTTCTGTTGTGTTTTGTCTCTCTCTCTAAAGTTGAGTGGTATGGTTTTGTTTGTTCCTTTTGTTCTGTTTTGTTTTTACAAAGAAGAGGCCTAATAAACACAGACCGATTGTGCCCTCTGGGCACTTAGTGTCACCCTCCTGTAGGATGGAGAGTGCTATAAGGAAAACCTCCCGCAGCACCAGGCCATGGTGCCAGGAACACCTGAGAGAAGAGACTGTTTCTCCACACTGTCTCATTCCTGGAGTGGTGTAGACCCTGACGTGTTCCTCCTCTTCCTCTGCACAGGGGTCCTCCCAGGAGCTCCAGCAGTGACCCTGACTTCGTGGTCGTGGATGGAGTGCCCGTCATGCTCCCGACCTATGATGAGGCTGTGAGCGGAGGCTCCAGTGCCTTAGGCCCCGGGTACCTGGCCTCCGTGGGCCAGGGCTGTCCTTTACCTGTGGATGACCAGAGCCCTCCAGCATACCCCGGCTCCGGGGACACGGACACAGGCCCTGGGGAGTCCGAAACCTGTGATAGCACCTCGGGCTCTTCTGAGCTGCTCCAGAGTCTATATTCAGCCCCCATGTGTCAAGGGGGCAACCACCCTGCCCCAGACACCCCTGAAACAATTGCGAGCACAGCCGAGGAGGTGGCATCCTCCAGCCCAGGCATCGACATTGCAGATGGTAAGTATTTGCTAAGCTGTGGCCAGCTCCCCGGCTCAGGGTCAAGGCCGTGGGCCTGCTTATTTACCCGGCTGTCATCGCTTCTCACTCTCTCTACTTGTAGGTCTGTCGACAGGCCAATTGTCTTAAAGAATGATCATAATTTTGTGAGTAATAATCCCAGGAATAGAAATTCCATGTGGCCCCAGAGGGTACCGAGTTCAAAGGCTAAGAGTAGACAGTGCTTCAGCTTTGATGCCTCCTGTAAGACAGGGGTTTTGTCTTCTTGTCCTTTAATTGAATAGGACTTCTGACGGTGCTGCCCGGGAAGAGAATCGCACACAGGCAGAGGAACAATCTAGATGTGTGCACCAGGCCCCAGCACATCTTTCAAAACTGACTTAAAGAAGGCTGGTTCTCCTATGCTGCCGTGCACACTGGGAGGCGTTGGGAGGCTGGTGCCGTGAGGAGTGCTGCCAGCCTCACCTGTCGGGCCCCCATGCCCACCTGACCCCAGAGAAGTGCTGTGTGCATAGAAGTCACGTTACCCAGTGTAAAAGAAGTGGAAGCTGCATCAGGCCTGGGGAAGATTATAGCCCATGAAAACAGTAAAATGTGTCGGAGTCATCGGGGCTCCACTCTCCAGGGGAAGGAAGCCTGGCGCCACTCTGTAAAATCACATTGGTTCCAGAGTGTGGCCCCAGTAAACAGCAGAAGCAGGACACCAACGAGCCTGCTAGCCCACAGAGCACCCTCCCTGTGCCCCACCCTGCTTCTCTGTGCTTGAAATTGTAACCTGTTGGCTTGAGTGACTGTGAGAGCTTGTGCTGAAAGTCTAATGTTGTCCTTTTTATGAGCTGGATATAAAATCACAAACTGGTCTCTGGCAAATAGATAGGATACAGGGCAGGGAGAAGGGATGCTGTTTTATTTGACCTTTAAAGGATTCGTGGAACTGAACATTTTCCTTTCTTCACTGATTTCTGGGATGGGAGCAGTTTTAATGAGACTCATAATTCCAGATCGTGTAGCTTTTAGTTGTACTAAGCAAATAACCACCTTTTCCTTTCCAGAGATCCCTCTAATGGAAGAAGATCCCTAGTTGGGTGAAGTCCTGCTAATGCCACTGTCCCCTTTGGGGGAAAGAGCCTTGAACTTTGGAGTGAGGCCACAGGACAGAGCTTGGGAGAAACTGGGGCATTTTCTAATCTATCTACATGGGGACAGTGACCACACCACACATATCCAACAGGACTGCGGGTCTGCACACCAACAGTCGCCGTGCGTCCTAGTGGGACTCGCGGGCCCGTCATGACCTGCAGGGAACAAAGGGCAGAGGGGACTCTCTGCATCACCCCCATGACAGAGTGTGAGACAGTGGCACACACATCCTGACAATTCACATATCCTGTTGGCTTGTGTTACCAGCACTCCCCGCCCCTCTGAAAGCATGTCACATTGTATAAATCCGCTTCTAAAATCTGCTGTGAACTGTCTAGGGACACTAGATCTGGACAGGCCTGTCTCTGTAGAAAGCCCATGTTAACCGGCCAGCCCAGGAGCAGATCCTTCTCTGCCCTCATTAGTAAGGGACGGGCTCCCAAGGCAAGACTCTCATGTAATACTCAGACCATCTTCTACACCGGGACAACTGTCCAAAGCAGGATGTGGCGGTTCGGGTGAGAAAGGGAAGAAAAAGAAGCCAACTCTGCTTTCTGAAAATGTCTTCATGCAGAGCCCCCCATGCTCTGTGCTGCCCCCTGGTGACGAGCATCGGTGTTTGTATTCGTGGTCTGGCAGTGGCTCCGTGGCCTGGGATAAACCTGTGACTTTTCCCACGGTTGAGGACACGTTCAGATCTTGTGGTGGACTGAGTGATTTGGTAATGTTTGGTTTGGGTATTTCAGAAAGACTCCACTCGTGTTTATCTGCTCGCCCATGCCTTCCTTCGAGGGTCGTTGTTATCACATTGTCCCTGACCCTAAAACGTAACCATCCTTTTATTTTACAAAACGTAAGTTTCTGTAAAACACATTCTGCATCCGAAGAAAGTGTAAGTCGGCTCTTAACCCCGCTCCCTCCAGCTCTCTTTGTGCTGCAGAGTCTGCAGGCTGGCCTCTCAGCCCCGAGCCACCCTGCCCTCTTGCTTTCAGGGGGCCTTTGGTCCTGCCTGCCCGCCATCCTGCGTTCCTACTGTGAGGGTTTCATGGCGCCCACTGGGTGTTGTGCCTAAGAACCCCCAGTCCAGAAGCGTCTCTTCAAATATATGTTGGTCTGTGGCGTCGCTTCCATTCCTCCTCTGGGTTTCAGACAAATATAAACAAAACTCTCATCCATAAAATCACTGTGCTGGCAGAGCAGCAAGGGCTGGAAGCTTGATCGAGTCCTGTTTTCTCTCGACACAGACTGATTAAAAATTAAAAAGAAAATGACAGCCTGATGCGTGCCTTTAATGGTAGAGTGGAGAGGGGAGGGTGGGAAGGGCCTGACAGTGATCCCAGGTGATGAAATAAAACATAGGATGAAGGACACACAGCTGAAGGAGCTACCACACGAAAAGGGCAGGCTTCGCCCTGGTGACAGTGTGCTGAGCCCATGGTTACAACTGTGGGTAACTGCCGATTGCTTGCATGGTGGCCTCATGCTGTCTCTGGTGAAGCCCAGTCCCACACTATCGATTCCATTTATTCACAGGAGTTGATGTGTGGGGAAGTGCCACTGCCTTGACGGTGTATGCCTCGGGGAACCGGGCCCGCCATAGGCACTATCTCCCAGGGAGCCAGACCTTGGCTCTTCATTCCCTCCTATGCCTCTTCGTGTAGGTTGTGTCTGAGAGACCTCCCGATAAGAGTTTCTTCTCCCATGAGGCAGGCAGGGAGAGGTGTGCAGAGCTGTCTGAGGCCATCCCTGTCTCTTTCCAGTAAATGCTCCAGCAGCAGGACAGAGTTGCCACCAGGCCCCAGGAAGACAGCAGCAGACATCAAGGAGTTTGTCAGCATTGCTCCCACACAGGCCGGTGGGAAGGCCACTGCTACTCAACTGTAACATCACACAATGCCCAAACCAGTCACCTGGACCCTGCTGGCCATCGCTCAACTTTGTATTCCCATCAGTTATTTCCATCACACAATTTGCTCTTTATTTTCCCACCCTAGTTGCTTCGGACAGAAAGAACCTTTGTGAGATTCCAAGCATGGTGTGGTCCCAACACAATTCTTTTAAATATCCCTAAGGCCCTGTGGTGTGAGGGAGCAGGCCACCTTCCGCAGACCTCCTCTGTGTGAAACAAACCTGGCTGTGGAAGAGGGAGCCAGGCCAACGCTGGGACTCTCCTCGGGATACCTCAGTGCTTCATCCAAGTTGCTGCACAGCAGGCCAGTTCTGGCTGACTGGGTCCCCATCATGAGCACAGCACAAGTGGCAGGCATCTTCACACTTCATTGCCGTGTAGCTTTTCTTAATTGCAAGGTTGTGATTTGCCTGTGTGGGTGCTTCAGGCCCTTTCCCACCTAATTACACCCGGCTTAGCAACTGGCACACGGAGAAGGCTGCCTTCTGTTACTACAGAAATGGTCCCTGGCCGCCAGCAAGTCCAAGTTATCAAATGCAAAGACTCCTGGTCCACAGCCCATTGGAGCCGGTGGTTTCTCATACTCCATCCTCCCTCTGCACAGCAGGCATTCGAATCCCCTCCCCCTCAGACAGCCTCGGGCTCTAGCGGCTACCTCAGCGTACCATGGGGGAGGGTGGGCTTCAGAACCTGCCTCCTCGGGTACCACCTGGCTGTGAACTTGCATCAGTTGCTAGCTCACTGGGCCTTTGTTTCTTCAAGCAGAAATTCAGAATAGTTCCCCCCTGCTTTCATTGCCAGGCTGTGGACGACAACTGATCTAAATCAAGCAGACACAGAGGGCATTTGAGACATGGCAGCTGTAGGTCCCGTGTGAGTAGGGGAGTGGCTGTCATATAGATGAGTCCCACATACCTTTGACCAGCCTTGGTCCCTTTGCCCTCCAGTGTGTTTGTAGATGAGGCTTATTAGGGGCTATCCAAGTCAGAGAGACTGAGATAAGCCACGTCTGTTCCTGGAATTGTACTCCCAGGAGCCCAGCCCCAGCACACTAAGCTTTTGTATAAATGAAGTTTCAGTGCATGGGTCATCAGGCCTCTGTGCTTATTGCAGCCCAGCCCATCTCTGCTCACGGAGGGCTGGAGAACCCCAGAGTCCCTCCGCCCCCACACAGACTCTGAGGGCTAACTCATCTCCACAGGCAGCCCTGTAGATTATCACTAACCTGCTTCCTTAATTTTATTGTCTATTTTCAATTTAAAGCATAAAAGTTAATGCCCACACATTTTCCAAGGTGACAAAGGGGAAATCCGCAGGTAAAGACAAGCTGGTCTAGCAAGCTAAACAGGGCCCCAGAGACTGTTGGTCACTTGTAAGGATGAACACTGAGCATGGTGGCCCTGAAGTCATAAAACTTAATGTAGAGAGTGTATGTCACTGTGCATGTGGTTAACTGCCATATTGGGCAGTGTGCCACCCTACACTATGAGAAACCAGTCTCCGGGTGCCTGCCATTTATCATTCTGAGTGATCAAAGAGTAGACTGACTACCGGAAAGAGAGTAGGGAACATCCTGAGAGCTTCATGCACAGATCCCAAGAGTCTGGTAGTCCCAGGAGGCCTGGCCCGTGTTCCCCTGAGGCCAATGGCGGAAGAAATCTAGCAGGTGGAGTTTAGGAAAGGCCATGCAATGGAGCCCAAAGGAACAGACTGACATCTGTCTGGAGGCAGGGAGAAGTCTTTATCGACCTACAATGTGCACCTTACCTGTGTTCCCTAGTTCAGTGGGCAGATAGGCAGGTACAATCTAGAAGCTGAAGACATCTGCTTTTGGTGAGAGCCTCCGTGAGGGCTTGGGTCTGTGCTAAGGGGCTTAGCAGACTGTCTCACAGGAGAGGGAAACCATTGAAAAGTTTGAAATCAGGACACTCCCAGGGTGTGATGGAGCAATGTGAGCTGGGCTGAGAGCTACTTTGAAGGCAAATGTGATTTAGTAGAGCATGGATCTCAGAATCAGGGTAGGGAGGATGCCTCTAAGCCCCAAGTTCCTCACTCTTCAGTGAGAATTAAGCATGCCTTAAAGATCTCTTTCAGCTCCAACACAGTGGCAATCTTCTTGGTGGATTTTGTTGTTCGTTTGCTTTGTTTTGTTTTTAGTCAAGAATCCATTGCCCAGCTTTGTCTGTTCTCTAGTCTCTTTCAGCAACTGCTCACTCCTGTTAGTTCTCAAGCCTGGCCCACCCCCACATCGGAATGACTCAGTTTACCTCCTCCCTGGAGCACATGCAGCTCAGGAGTGGCCCATCCCAGTGACACACACACACACACACACACACACACACACACACACACACGGCCACAAAAAGGGTTTACTCTCTAAGAACAGGTGCCCTCATTTTGGGCAAGGGTGGGAGTCAAAGACTAACAGCCTGTGAGGTTCTGGCCTCCCATGGCATTTCTGTAGAGCCCCTTGCAGTCGGCCTTGGCCAGAGGCCCAGGTGCTACAGTGAGACCGTGGAGTCCATTCTAGTGTAAGGACTTGGAACAACTGAAATCCCAAAGAAACCTTGGACCTGATGAAGCCACAGATTCTTTATAATCATGTGGCATTTCTGGCCCCAGGGAGTGTGTTCATCTCTTTCGAAACCTGTTTTTCCTGCCTGTCTCAGTGCATAGGAAAGCCACGCTTGTGCAGGAGTGCCACGCCTGATGCAGGCTTCCTCCTCATGCTGTAGGTGTGTCCAAGGCCTCTACCCCTGCACCCCTTCTTTCGTGTGTGTGTGTGTGTGTGTGTGTGTGTGTGTGTGTGTGTGTGTGTGTGTGTGGTGTGCAGGCAGCTGAATCTATTCAAAGCCTCACACACAGTAAACGAGAACTCCCCACTAAGCTGAATCTCTAGCACTCTTAGCTAACCTTGAACTCATTCTGTAGTCCAGGCAGGCTCTGAACTTGGAATCCTCCAGCCTCAGCCTCTAGAGTCACTGAGATTATAAACCTGTATCCCCAGGCTCAACTATTTTATAGACTTATTTTTTAAGAACAGTGTTAGATGTATTTTTTAAAATTGTTCAAAGAGTAGAGCCCCTTAGTCCTGGATTCCCTTATTAACACCTGCGTTAGTGGAATGCAGTTGTTATTTAGTTGATCAGCTCATATTAAATACAGTGCTGACCGAACTGTAGCTTACATTGGTGATGGCTCTTCGTGTTCTGCCTTCTACAGGTTTTCACACATGTGTATTGGCATGTGTCCACCGGGGTCATGACACGATCATTTCACTGTCCCAAGCCTCCTGTATTGTCACCTCAGCCTATTGTCACCTCCCCCCCCACCCCCACTGGCAGCCACCTATTGTAGTTGGATTTTTCTTTGGGCCACCAGCTCCCAAATAATGACACATAGACCTCTTATTAATTATAAAGCTCAGCCTTAGCTTAGGTTTGTCCCACTAGAACTTATAACTTCAATTAACACATTTATTTTAATCTATGTTCTGTCACGTGACTCGTTACCTCATCTCTCCTTACTGCTCATGCCGCTTCCTCCTTATCTGGCTGGCGACTCTGCCTTCTTCCCAGGGATCTCTCTCTGCCCTGAAGTCCACACCGGTCACAGCAATGCATCTTCACAGTGTACAAGTTCCCCACAACAACTTCTCTTTCTTATGCCTGTTTCTTGTCTTTCCCTCTCATTTGGTCTTTGGTTGCGTTTTCTCCATGCATACCCCATTTTCCTTTGTTAGCCCTTCTCTCCATAGCCTCAGGCCGTCTCTTCCCTTCATAAGTTAGACTTCCCTAAATCCCTCAGGATCCTCTTGCCAACATTCCTGCAATGCCCATGCATGTCCTGTCACTGTGTTTGATACCTGGAGGTTCAGAATGGATGTGACGAGCCCAGGAGAGACGCAGACATGGACAAGACGAAGCAGGGACTGAGCTAAGTACCGTGTGCCTTGTGAGAACACTGGCGAGGCCACTACCCCACCCTGGAGCAGGGAAAGCTGCCCAGAGAAGGAGCAGCTGATCCACTGGACACAGTGATCATCATCTTTTGGGGGTGCACTTGGTCATCTTCCCCTTTGAAACGGGGCCTCACTGCACAACCCACGCTGACCTTTGAACTCATAATACTTCCTTTGTTTCTTATGCTAGGATTGCAGGAGTTCACCCCCACTCGTAGCTACATTAGCCCCTCTTCTCATGCTTAGAACTGGTTGAGACTCTCCACCGTGCCTATGTGCTGGCCATCACACTGTCACAGGGATGTAACTCAATGTGTCCTCAACTGTGAAATATGGAAAGAAATAGGACCTATTTCATTTAGCCACTGGGAGGAGCTCAATTAGCTGATTGATATAACATGAT